TATTATAGTCTCATTAGAGATGACTAGTGATGATTGAACCGGAATGTACCACACCTCAGGCAAGGAGAGGGGTTTGATTTGATTTGATTGTTGTAGTCACATGTGCCTAAGTAATAAGCTTTGTTTTGCGAGTAGTACAGGCAGATCATAGCAAACAAGGACATACAGATCATAGAACGCTTACACAGAGCAAGGCATACAGGTTACAACTGCACAGGAGGTGTGCGAAGCAAGTTCAACAAATATTTGAAGTTAGAGAGTCCATTCAGCAGTCTAATAACAGCAGGTTCTTGAACCTGTTGGTGCACGTGCTCAAGTTTCTCTATCTTCTGCCTGGTGGGAGAGGTTGTAGGAAAGCATTATTGGGGTGGGAGGAGTCTTTGATGATGTTGGCAGCCTTTCCACGGCAACGAAAAGTGTAAATGGAGTCCACGGATGGGAGGTTGGCTTCCATCATTGTTTGGACTAGGCACACAACCTTCTGTGGTTTCTTATGGTTCTGAGCAGAGCAGCTGCCGTACCAGGCCGGTATGCACCCAGATAATATGTTTTCTATGGTGCAGCTGTAAAAGTTGGGGAGGGTCCTTACGGATATGCCAAATTTCCTAAGCTGCCTGAGGAAGAGACAGCGTTGTTGTGCCGTCTTGACTGTCACATCTACGTGGAAGGTATCGTCACTCCTAGTAACTTGATGCTCTCAACATTCTCCACCTCAGCTCCATTGATGTAGATGGGAGTGTGTCTTCCTCCTTTCTTCCTGAATTTAATGATTACTTCTTTTGTTTTGCCGACACAGAGTGAGGTTGTTAACATTGCAACACAACACCATGGGTGAGGAGGAGAGTCCTTTGAGAGGATTTATGCAGGTAGAATCTTGACATCAGAGTCAAAATGGATAAAATGTAATCACTGTTGGTTGAACAAACAGCCAAGGAGAAGCACAGAACATCACCTTAGTCTGATCAAGCAAACCATATTGTCACTGAATTGCTAAACGTGGGATCAATCTGTGTCCAAGTTGGCTAATTTATTTGGAAAAAGTTTACACAATTACTAAGAAAATTGAATACAAAGGACCCAAAGGAATTGAGGTAGAATGGAAATGATTTGTTCATGGGAGAAAAGAAACATTGTTGTCAGGAACGAAAATAGAAATTGTTGGAAAAGCTCAGCAGGTCTGGCAGCAACTGTGGAGAGAAATCAGAATTAATGTTTCAGGTCGAGTGACCCTTCCTCAGAACTGGTGGTAACTAGGAAAATGTCACTTTGTATGCAGAAGATAGAGTGTGGGGCAAGTAAGGGTTAAGGAGTAAATGGTTGGTGGGGATACAGCCCAAAGAGAGATGAGAACAGTTGAACAGACAAAGGAGTGGATAATGATCAGGCTAGAAGGGTGAATAGTTATTAAATGGGGACTGTTAGTTTTTTTTTCTTTAATCATAATGGGATGAGGGCATCTCTGGCCAGGCAGCATTTATTACCCATCCCTAATTGCCCAGAGGGCAGTTCAGAGTCAACCACATTGCTGTGGGTCTGAAGTCACATGTAGGCCAGACCAGGTAAAGATTGCAGTTTCCTTCCCTAAAAGACATTAGTGAACCAGATAGTTTTCCCCTGACAATTGATGATGGATTCACGGTCATCATTAGATTCTTATTTCCAGACATTTTATTGAATTCAAATTCCATCATCTGCCATGGTGGGATTCAAACCCTGGTCCCCAGGATGTTATCTGGGTCTCTGGATTAACAGCCTAGCGATAATACCACGAGGCCATCGCCTCACCCTGACTAACAATGGGCTGTGAGTAATAGCCAACTATGTGTTGTAAGTTGTGTGGGGGTTCGGATAAGGACATGGGAGAGCTCAAGCCCTAAAGGTATTGAACTTGATATGGGGTCCAAGGGGCTGCAGGGTCCCCAAGTGGAAAATAAAAGAGTCTTTACAGGAAGCAATGATGTGGAGGTGCCAGTGTTGATGGGGGTGAACGAGGTCAAAAATCACACAACACCAGGTGATAGTCCAACAGGTTTATTTGAAGACACAAGCTTTTGCAGTCTCACTCCTTCTTCAGGTAACATTCAGAGGGATAGCATCTGACACAGAACTGAAAAGCAAAATGTCAAAGGGTCATAAAACTGATGGGGCGTTGAACAAATCGAAGAGAGCCGTTAAATCTTTGATCATTTGCAAAGGATTACTATGCAAATTCCTGAATTTCTTCCAAGTTACTGACCCTAAAGGTTTTATCAATTCCACCACACTATACACTCTCTCCCCAACTCTGCACACACACACACACTCTCTGCTACGCACACACACACACACTCTGCTACGCACACACACACACTCTGCTACGCACACACACACACACTCTGCTACGCACACACACACACACACACACACACTCTGCTTCGCGCACACTCTGCTAGACACACACACACACACTGCTTCGCGCACACACACACACAC